GTACGAGTGCCTTATCCAGAGGCAAGGAGGAGGCTTCGAGAGGGTAAGCTACTTGAACCTGTCTGACTCCCATGCCCACGCCCCTCTCCACCTTGCTGCTGGTAAGTGCCCTGGTGTGTCTCCTCTCAATGAATTCCTGAGACCAAACTCTACTCTTACCACCTCAAGGGACCACAGGTGACTTCTTGAAGATTAAGTGGGTGAAATGAAAACCGCTCCAGAAGGCAGTATCTAGAAAGGGGCTTGGGCTCCTTTCCTGCACATCTACGTGGAAGGGAAGGAAAGGGGAAGCAGAGCTATGTTCCAGGTGGCAGAGGGAACCCCAGAAGGCACATGGGATGCCAGAGACTCATAGACTGGAAAGTGGTAGGTTATCAAGGTGCTTTGGAAAGTTCCTTCCCGGTGGAAAATGGTTCCCTGGAAGTAACAGCCCGGGCTGTGATAGGAGGTGAAAATGTGCAGAGAGCAGGGTGAAATACCCCACCGCACTGGGCTCCGCGGAGTTCAGCAGAAAGATTTGCGCTGAGTGTCCACAGCCAATAAATAATTCACGAATTGAGAAATACTGTCGATAAATTGTGCTTAAAAAAAAAATCACTCCTTAAGCCAAAGAGACTTTTGATAGGAACAGAGAGGACTTTTAAGGGGCACTCTGACACTGGACTCAAACCAAGGAGGAAGCTCACTGCAGTATTGGGAAAAGCTAGACCCCCACCTTAGGTTCATAGGCTCCCAGACTTACTTTGCCCCCTTTACATGAAATAAATAAATAACAATTACTTAGCACCTCCCCCACCCCCACCTGGCAATTAAAAAACATTTGTACTGTAGCCAATAACCCAGGATACAGTTTAGGTATCTCCATTTTCAGCCCCGCAAACCCCAGAGCTTTCCAGGCCCCCCTAGGGGGACGCATCACCCACTTGGGGAAACACCCACTTGGGTTTACACGGCGAGGATTGTTGTGGCAAAGCTACCGCGTTATGTCTGGGCTGGGGGACACCAAGGCACCAGGCCATGTGTATCTGAGTGCTGAAAACTCATTTAAATCACCCGGACGATCTGAGAACGTCAGAGAATCCATGGGAAACTGGAATGAAAAGATCATGGAGCTTTTTCCCCCATGAACTTTTGGAAGCCCCTCACGTTCCTTTTTACAGAATGGACACTTTATGTTAGATAGCAAAACACTCGGCCTCCTTCAAAAACCCAAACAAAATACTAACCCAATGGCGTTTCTTTCTAATGCACCGAGTCCGTGATGTTGCTCCCTGCTTTCTGACAAGTGAGGGTGTAGGCCGCTGTGAGGCCATTTTGACATTACCACACCGTTCCTCTGTCTTTTCCCCAGGCGGCCTCGTGCAAACTAAAGGTTTGCAATCACAGGGCTAAATGGCATAAAAAGCTGCCCTGCTCTCTCTCCCCATCCAAAGTGTTTACCACGAGCCGCCCCCCACCCTTTCCTGCCTGGCTGTCTCTGCTTGAGCCTGGCAGCACCACAGGGTTCTTGTCGCCCTCCTGCATCTCTTGCCCTGCCCAGTCACTCTGACTTTGGGGGCGCTCCTGCTTCTTGTTCCCCTTCTCGCAGCTTCCTTTCCTCTCCACACACCGACCCCAGTAACGCCAGGAAACTCCACACCCCACTTCTTCATCCTGGATGGGGCTTCCTGAATACTCTGCGCTTTGCTGTCTATTCTCTATTTAATTTTTCAATTGTGAATTAGGTGGGGGAGCCCCCATAGCTTATCCTATCCGCCGCCTCTGATTTCAATGTTTTCACTCAGGAATTACTGTCCTTCACTTTACCCACGTTCAGACCTTGCCAACTCTTTCACCCCTGCTTCCTCTCCTATCCACTGTCCGGGGCTGCTGGACGGTTGTGGAGGTAACGGATACCGTACATGCCCTTGGGTATGCTGACTTGTCCATCAATTTGACTTTGAAAAAACAATGTGCACAGTCTAAACTCCTCAAAGGCAAGGAGATGAGCGTTGTCTCCTCCTTTCAAACGTCGCCCCAAAGCCGGAGTGGAGCATTTGCCTGACAGGCCTCTCCCGGCCCCTTAGCCGTCACCAAGACTCACCATTCCTGCCGTCCAGCGGCACTTGGCTCAGGACCGTGAGGCCGACGAGGATGTAGTAAACAAGCCCGAAACAGTATTGCATGGCGTTTATCATGGTGTTGGAGAAGACGCTGACATGGACACACTCGAAGAGCCTTCGCAAGCTGTGCAGCCACACAAACACCAGGACAAAGAGGGCGGACAGTGCCAGCTCGCCACCTGCGGGTCACAATGCAGCACCATCAGAAGGGCTGGATGGCAGTGGGTCCAGTGTGAAGGCCTCTAGTTCATCACACGCATGTCCAGGAATAAGAGTGGGAGAGGGGGGCAGCAACAAACAAGTTGGCAGTTTCCAACCCCCGCCCAGCCGTGCCCGAGGTTACAGGCCTGGGGACCTGCTCTCGAAAGGGTCTGGCCTTGAAAACCCTGTGGAGCAGCTCTACTGTGTTCATATGGGGTCGCCATCAGTCAGAATGGCCTCCATGCTAACCAACTACGACTGTCACAACAACAACAAGAACACACACTCGGGGGGCTTCCGTCAAAAAGTCAGTAGAAAATTGAATGAAAAGATCATGGGATTTTCCCCACAAACTTTTGTGAAGTCCCCTAGGATCCCCATCTCCACATGAACACATCTCTACACACGTGTCATAAGGATACGACTTCATGAATTTTTACAAAATAAAACCATTTCTCCTACCCGCATGACCAGCACCTCAGTCAGGAAACAGGGCGTGTGCACTCCCATCTGGTCACCATCCCCTGACTTCTATCAGTCTAGATCAGATGCACTAATTTTGGTCATTTAAGATAAATTAGAACCTACTTCGAACTCTCTAAGAATAGGTTAAAAACAACCCACCAACCAGCCAAGTCAAACCCCTCCCAGGCAACATTCCAAATGTGGCAGCACCCCAGGTCAACAGAGGAGGAGCTGAAGTTCAGGTGAGTGTGAAGAAGGAATTCCCAAGGTAGCCTTCCCTCCCAAAGAAGATCTGCCGGGGCCTCCCCTTCTGACTGTCCTTGCTGGCAACAAGTTCCTCTGGTTCTATCGTGAGCCTGTGGTTTGGCTGTTGGAACAAAGGCCAGAGATCTTAAAAAATACCCCAAACACCTCACTGCCAGCCAGTGCATTCAGAGTCATAACCCCCCCTAGGACAGGATGGCACTGCCCCTGTGGGTTTCCGAGACTGGAACTTTGTCTGGGAGTAGCAAGCCTCGTCTTCCTCCCGGGGAGCAGCTGCCAGGTTCACACAGCTGACCTTGGGGTTAGCTGCCCAAGGGGTAACCCCCTCCACCAGCAGAGCTTCCCAAGGACAGGGCCAAAACACTCAGTTCCTAATTCTGCTCCACACGCAGTCTGACCTGGGTGTGAGCCACTTCATGTTTGCCTCCTCCTGTTCCTAATTTTAAACATTGTTCTCAAGATCCTTGGTTGGAAGCAGAGAGAGGCAAACTGGAAGTCTGTTTTGTCAACAACTGTTTACAGCCAGCTGCTGGAAAGTGCCACAGCCACGCAGCCTAACAAAGGCATTTACATGTTGGCCCCCAAGTAATTTCCTATCACATTTCTGGAGTCCTGTGACATGGTTTTAGTTGGGACTGTAGAAATGATCGATGTTTCCAGGCAAACCTGAAAAATCCTAAATGTTTTCTCCCTAAGTGGAAAGAGTTCTTGATAAATTGATCAACAGTACTAAAAATATCAGAGGGAGGGCAGCCTGGGGCCAGGCACAGCCCAGCACCCACAGAGAAGCCAGGGACTGAGTACTGCTTCCTGTGCCACCATCTTCTCATGAAGGGCTTGGGGATAACCTCTTGGCCAGCCCTCTGGGAACCATGCCAGACTCCCCTTGCTCTTGCCTCCCCTTCCCAGGCCCGCTGGGGCAGAAGTTTCCCCACAGACACAAATGACGGCCCCGGAAGCACTGGCTGTCCTAAGTCACACACACACACAAAAGTCATCGCGACTCTCAGGAGGGTTTCCCAGACTGGAGCAGAAAAGCCTCAGAGCCAAGGAGCCCTTACCTTGGAACTGGGCAGCCCCAAGAATTCTGAGCAAGCTATAAAGCCAGTTTGGAAAAGATGCTCCCAGGAACAGACACCGAATAAGGCACCAAAGCAGGAAGCTGTTCCATATCACAGAGACGATGTAGAAATGTGAAAAATACCTGCAAGAGAAAAACAATGACTCGGGTAATGACAACAAGGCCACACCGACTGATGTCCAGTCGATTTCCGCTCCTAGCAATCCCAGTTGCTATGGAGTACAAACTGCTCCACAGGAGTTACTTGGTGGTGATCTTTATAGAAGCCGACTGCCGGGTCTTTCTTCAGCTTATTTCCCTTGATCTTTATTTTTAAAAATTCTACTGGCGTGTAATTCACATACCATGTTCTCTGGGCGTTTAAACATATCCAGAAGAGTCCTTCTAGTCTCTGCAGTGCTGCTGACTGGGCTCGAACTGCCAATCTTTTTGTTGCTGTTGTTAAAAGTTTTATTGGCATATAATTCACAAGCCATCCAATTCAATAGTTCAATCAAGAAGAGTTGTACAATCATCAATTATATAGTTGTAAAATCATCACTTTTAGGACATTTTCTTTGTTCTTGTACTCATTGTTATTAGCTGCCCATTCTCCTCCAACCTCTCCTGTCATGCCCCCAAGGAACTGTTCACCCAGTACTGTCTCTAGAGAGTTACCTATCCTGGATTTCATAAACAGAAAAACATTTTTAAAAAGAAAACGAAAACATTGACAAAAAAGTAAAAAAAAAAAAACCTCAATAGAGAAAACAGAAAATATTAAAAACTAGAAAAAATTGAAAAGGGGTCAAAAGGGAGATGAAATGGTAAGGGGTTACATTTCAACTTAACTGCACATGCCATCATCCACTCTTAATGACGGCTGACAGCAACCAGTTGTGCCACCCAAACTACTACCCAGTTTCTTTATTTTCTCCCCCCACTGGTTCCAAGCCATGTTTCTGTTTTTAATAGAATTTGGATCCGTCAAGACTTCAGGTTGTAAATTTTTTTCTTTCCAAAAGATCCCACAGCCATTAGTTGATTCCAACTCATAGTGACCCTCAGGAGCTCCCATGGAGCAGCTGGTGGTTTCAAACTGCTGACCTTGTGGTTTCGGCCCAACTCGTAACCCACGAGGCCCCAGTTCTCCCTTCTAGCAACTTAAACTCAATGCCATGGGGTGGGGTCCTGGCTTACCCCAACACCCTTCTGTAGGGAACCTTCTTTATTCTTGATACCAAGTCCTACCTCTGGTTTTTAAAAAGGAAACCCATGAAGACATGTTATCTTCACAATGATCTTATCGAGCGATGTGGCAGATGAGGCAACTAAGGCTCAGAGCAGTTAAGGCCTCCCAGATCACACATTAAGTGGCAGCATCTGGCACCAGCCTCAGCCCTCGTGACTCTGAAGTTAAAATCACACATAGGCTTGTCTGAACCTGCTTTTCTGGGTCCAATGCCATGTGCTCTGATTTATATCCAGTCTACAGGCAATCCCAGGTACCATTTAAGTGTGACCTCACAAGCTGCCAAGCCACATTGTCTAAGACAGTGTCTTGTTGTGTCCTGCTTGGGTTTGTGGTGCTTCTGACCGACAGGCAGATTGCTCTTGTACATTCAATCTCTCTTGTTTGGCTTACCCAATTTCCCTTTTTGGAAAGGCATTTTTCTATTCTTCACGCCAAGTCCAATCTCTTGCTTTTCAAAAGACCCCAATCCAACCTTAAAAAGCAGGTCTAAAAATGCACTTCGCTCTGTGTTAGACACAAGACAGTCTGAAAAGGCTTTCTCGTGCAGTGTGTCTGCCTTACGAGAGCAGAAATTCCCAGGAGCTGAGAATAGCTTCTAGCCCTTAGTCTGTACCCCACTGTAAATACTGGTTATTAAAGATGGAATTATGCACCCTCAAAAACATGTGTTTGTGAATCCCAAATCCCTTGCCCACAGTCATGCTCCCATTTGGGAATGGGGGTTGTCCTGGCTGTGAATGAGACAGGATTAGTGAGGGATATATTTTGACTTCATCTCTACTGAGATAGAAAAGAGGAGATTAAGCAGGTAGTTGGGGCAAGAGAGATGCCGCACGACTGCCCAGGAACAGACAAGGAAAGAGACAGGGGCTTCTCCCAGAGGCAACAGAGAAGAGCACTCCTTCCATGGAGCAGGGGTGGGAGCCATTTTCTGCCAAGGGCCATTTGGGTATTTAGAACATCATTTGCAGGCCATACAGAATTATCAACTTAAAAATTAGCCTGCTAGATTTGGTCAAACATTTAATGAACTCGCCTCTAATGGGATGGCTGGGACTGCTTCTCATTGGTGAGGTGTGTGTGATGGTAGCTGGGGTGAAGATTTCAAAGTCCCCACCCCTCTCTAGACCATAGGTTTCCACACTTATTTGGCCTAAAGCCCCTTTTCAAAGAAAAAATAATTACTCAGCGCCCCCTGGTAATAAAAAATGAATTATAGCCCATAATTCAGGATTATAGGTATCTGCTTTTGTAGCAGCCCCTTGGTCATTCCAGAGCCCCCCAAGGGGCAGTGTGGCCCACATTGGCAGTCCTAGAGGACAAAGTAGAACTGCTCCTGTGGGGTTCAAAGACTGCAACTCTTCGGGAGCAGAAAGCCTAGTCTTTTTCCCACCCTAGAAGTAGGCTTCTTGAATTCAGACTTTGTAGCCTTGAAAAATGTAGGAAAACAAATTTGTTAGTGGTATTTTTGTTATAGCAGTACTAGATAACGCAAACCAACCAACCAAGCCCACTGCCATCGAGTCGATGCTGACTCACAGCGACCCTATTGACAGAGTAGAGCTGCCCCGTGGGTTTCCAAGATGATAAATCTCTGTGAAAGTAGAAAGTCTCTCTTTAGTCCGAGTAGAGAACTAAGTGAATGACATTTACTGTTTAATAAGTGAATGACATTTATTGTTTTGGTTCCCTCTACCCCTTTCTGATGCTAATAGTGAAAGGCACATTGTTATGGAGACAATTTTGGAAACAAAGAAAACCAAAGGGGGCTGCAGACTTTCAGCTCACTTCACCATGCCCTCCAAGGTATATGAATTCAGACATGGGCTTTTAAAAAAATTCCAATAAAAATACTTTTTACTATTGGCCTATGTACGTGTAGTACTTCTCCACTTCTTTCCATTTAGGAAGTGAAAACAACAACCACACACACACACACACACACACCCCAGCACTTAAGTATTATGGGACAGACATGCAATTCTAGAAAAAGAAATGCCTTATTCCATCGTAAAGAGAAAAATTACAAGCCCCAAGAGAACCAATTGCTGTCATAAGGAATAAGGGAAGGTACGATCTTTTTTTTCTGGGTTGTAATATAACAAACCAAATTCAGCAAGACCAGTTGGGGATCCAGAGACACGGGAATGCCCTTCAACTCGGCAACACTGGACTAGTATGCTTTTCAAATTTAGAAACTCAATTGTTAAAGCTCGTGTTCTCTCTTCTTTTTCACTTTGTAAGTTCAGAAAATGTGACATTCCAGGAAAGTCTCAGCTATACAGTAGATCAAAGCTGGTTGAAAATAGGCCAGCAAGCAATTTCCACTTACCAGCTGCTCTGAGAAATAGGAGGTCTAACAGTTTGGCATGCATATGTCTACTTCTTCCCAGCAGTTCTTTATCTCTAGTTCTCCCTTCTCATTAACCCCTCTTCAGGCTCCCCCCTTCCCCCCCAGTCAGGAGTGGGGCTTGCTACATTTCAGAAGCCCCCAAGTGGACATGGCCTGCCTGCTGTGCAGTCTTGGGGCACTGCCCTAGTTTGGAGGGACAGCCGTGGTGTCCTAACAGGTCAGGAACCACATCCTACTCCTCCCGATTTCTTTCCAAGTTGTAGAGATCATTTGATACTTCCTAACATCTAGAACAGGGTTCCCTGGAGCATTGACTGTGTTTTAGATTCAAATAATAATAGCTCACCATAAGAATTCTATTTAATCGCTGAGGATTTAATCGTTCACTGAGATGGGAACATCTAAATCCACCTTTGGCTATGAAGTCTGTGAAAATCAAAGAGAGCGCTGGTATCGGGTTTGCCCAACATGTGCCAGCTTGGCCTGTCTACTGACTAGGAGTCGGCGTGCCCCGTCAGTGGTCCGTGGCATCCATGAAATTGTTCAGAGTCCTTGGGTGGGAAATACCTCGATTCTTGGCTTCCCACTGAGAAAGAAATTCACGCTGCAGCCTGGTTTGTGATCCGAGTGAGTTTTTACAAAGATGGAAGTTTCAGGTTTTACAGCTAACTGAACACGGTGACCCGAGGCAGGGGTGGGGTTGGTGGTCTCCAGGGTAGGGATTTTTAGGGCCTTCTGCTGGGAGGGAGGCGTGGTCGAAGGTACTGGCAGACCCCACTGGCTGAAGTAAGCCCACCTGGCCTAGTCTGGGGACTACCCAGGTGTACTGGCTCAGTGCCTGATGTGGCCCCTGCCCTTTAGCCTTTAACGGCTTCAAACTTCCTGTAGGGCCTCTAAGCATGGAGAAGAGCGACCACCTAGCTTGCTACCTAACACAATGACGAGGGATCTGGCTTTTGTCCTGCCTGAGAGGGTCGGGAAATAGAGGCTCACAGGTTAGGCCTGCCTCCACTTTCACCATGACCCCCAGCGACGCCTCTTGATAGACTGAGTCCCTAAGGTGGTGGCGCCCTGGTGGACGCTGGTTTGAATCCACCAGCTGCTCCACGGCACTCAGAAGTGGCCATCGGCTTCCGTAGGGTTACTCTGTCCTTTGGGGTCGCTGAAGGACCAGTCGACCCCACTGCGAGAGGTTTGGCTTTGTGATCTGGGTGGTGGGGTAGGGAAGGAGAATTCGGGGACCCCAAAGCCTTTAACTTGCGCGCGGCTTAGCTCCCTCGGTGTCCACGGACCCTGCAGTGCTCCGAGCCCATCGCTAAGGGGCAGCGACGGGCAGCGCCAGCCCCGCGGCCTCCAGGCCCGGTGGGCGCCGCCCGCGCCCGCTCCGCTGGGACGGGGCGCGGTTACCTCTTGGGGAGATCAAAGGCCCGGCTCAGAGCTGAGCGCTCGGAGCCGGCACGCTGGGTTTTCCCATAGCAGATCAGGTCCTGGAGAAGCGGGCTGCTGGGCAGCAGGCCGGCCGGCGCCAGCTGCAAGAGCAGAGCC